TATCAGAAAGAGGCTATGAACTGAACTACATTGCCTTGCAGAAAACATTCTCCCTCCTCCTTGGGATCCCAAAGCAACTACCTTTCAGCCCTTGGACTTTGCTCTGAATCTGGCTAGCACTCTCATCCCAGCACCATTCCTCCTATTGCCCTTTCTAACCTTCACCTAGTTTTCTGCATCTTTTTTGCAAAATGAGAACTCCTCCCAGGTTGATAGTGTATGATCTCATGGGCTAAAACAAATTCTTCTCCTTGTGAGTAGTGGTTAAAGAGCATGAGTAGTTATAATGACCAAGTGCTTTAAAGCTTATAAACTTAAAAATACCCTGCACATAATGAGCACTCAATAAATATTAGTAGTTATTACTTGTCTGCCCCGGCTGATTGTAGGCTGTTATTGTCACCCTCAGCAAAATTCTGCAGTTCCAGCCTTTGCACAGCCTTTGCAATTCTCTTGCATTCCGTGTTCCTGGGCCATTGACTTAAGTGACAACTGAGGGCTCTTTTAAATCTTATGAGACCTGAGCTAGAGAGATAAAGAACCTTGAAGTTATATAATAATATTAATAATAGCAGACATTTGCTGAAAACTTCCTGCTATACCAGATACTTATTTTATATCTTATTTAATGCCCCCAGCAACCTCACAAGTCTGCATTATTATTCATATTTATGGTTGATGAATCAAGCTTAATCAGGGAGGGTGAAGTTATTTGCTATCCAAGGTCACACGGCTCCTTTCCCTGAGTTGAGAGACATCTCTATCTAGCTGTCTTCCTAAGAGAAGCATCCGGAGTGAGTTACAGGCAGCTGCTATCTGCTGGGTTATCTGTTCCCCTCTGAAGCCGCTCAGGGTTCCTGTACTTGGCCATCTTGAAGGAGACTTGGCTTAGAGGTGGCCATCTGGCACCAGCTCATGCAGCTTTTGTGAAGTCACATGTGGTCCCGGAGTTGCCAGGAAAAAAGATGCCTTGATGAGCCAAAATGCAAATTCCTTAGGAGAGGAAAAGTGAAAGTGAGCTTGTTCACACTGTGCATGACTCCAAGGAAATGACACAACCTGAGAGACACAGCGTCCTGCCCCCAGGCTCCATCATATTACAGGAGCATTATTTTGCATTTGATCATAAACTTGCCTCCCAACAGACAGTTTTGCTTCTTTGACCAGTAAGGGAGGCAGAGGTGACCCAAGTGAAAAAGAAGTTGATATTCCAAATACTAAAATGTCTCCTGACTTTTTAAATACCATCTTCTGGAAAGGTAGGGGTGGGCAGCATGTTTTCCTCACCAATCCCCCAAGTTTGTCAAGTTTTGCTTGTCCTGGAGATGAATTGTTCAAAGCGGGTCAAGGTCAGAAGCAGGGAACTTGAGGATCCTCATCTAGTTTGTTCATATCTGAAAGGATTTCTAGGGCCTTCACTGGGGTTTTCAAAAACTCTTCTTTGGCTACTTATTTTTCTTCTTTCTCTGCTTTCTTCTTTTTTCCTCTCTTTACTTCTTGTTTTCTTCCTCTCTCCTGGCCTTACCTCCTCCAGAATACCTGTCCCACTGGCTGCCCATCAGTTCTCAGAGGCTCATTTTCCTGTAGCCAAGCCCAGGGCTGGGTTACCTGGGCTTTGAATGGTCTTTTCATCAGTGAATTCCTGTCCCCCCCTTTTTTTTGTTTCTCCCAGAATTTTCTGAGTTATATTTACAATGAAAGATGGGCCTAAGGGATTTGTGATTGCTGGCATTTTAGACCAGCACAACTGATGCCATTGTTCGCAGAATGTTGTCTTGGAGGGTTTACTGAGAGGCATTTAGAGCCCGATTTCTAAAAAGACTCAACAGTGAGGCTATTGCTGGGGGAGGGGGATATGAAGTGGCTAAATGTTAATGGAAAAAATATAATAAAAATTATATTTTTTAAAAAGGAAAAAAGTCCTTTAGGAAAGCTATTAAAAGTTAGATTCAAAGGTTTCAAATTTCAGGATGAAGCCAGCATGATCTGCTGCGAGCCACGCTGGAGGCTTAAGGTGAGGAACCCTGGTGAATTCAAGCCAGAGCAGCTGCAAATCCTCAGACCGGAGAAGGCAGCGTGTGGCTTTCCCTCAGATGTCAGACAAGGGGAACTGACTTATCTATTTATAAGGCCCAACCATAGAGGTTCCAAGTTAAGTACTGGAAGTCCACACAGGCTTTCTGAAGAAGGTGGCCCAGCCAGTCCCAGAGAGAAGGCAGAACTTCATCTTGGAGACATACTGGTGACTCCTTCCTTCCAAAAGGGGGTCACTGAAGCTGCCAGAGACCCCTCACCCCGCACATACATTGGCACACATACACCCACACACCTGTTCCGAAGGCAGTCCCAACTCTGGAACCTTCCCATTTGGATTTTTTATAGTGTAGTTCAGTGGTTTTCATACCCTCTAGAGAGCTTGTTAAAAACACCGATGGCTGAGTCCCACTCCCAGAGTTTCTGATTCTGTAGGTCTAGGAGAGGTCTAAGAATTCCTGCATCTCATGAGTTCCCAGGGGAGCTGGTGGGGCTGGTCCGGGGGCCACACTTTGGGAACCATTAGTGCAGTTAATGTGCGCGCTCAGCAATCCGATTTCCTGGGTTCAAAGTCTTGCCCCATCACTCACGCCCAGGGCTCCTGAACAAGTTAACCTCCCTGTTGCCTCAGCTTCTTGTCTGTAATAAAAGAACATGAGGGTAAGAGTGGTATCTGTTTCATGTGTTATTCTGAGGGGCAGATGGGATAATGCATAAAAAGCATGATTTGGTACATGCAAGTGTTCGCTAATGTTATTTCTCAAAACACACCAATGTTACAGTGCTCCTATCCACCCAGTGCCCCCTGATCCACCTGCTGACACAAAGACCCTCCAGCTTCCCAGGGTTTGGGGGGACTTAGGGCTTAAGAAGGCTGGACCATGGAGACATATGGGTCCTGAAGGCACCTTCGCTCAGAACCCACAGTTGAGTCCTTCTCAAAGTCAGGTGTTCAACTCCTGTCTTTGCTGCCAAAAATCCATGAGGCCTCAGCCTAGCACCGATCTGGACACTTTTATCATATGCCCTGGTGGTGTTTTTGCTCCGTGACTAGGAAACAAACACAACCAGAAGAATCCTGCCTGCTGTCCCAAGCACTAAATTTTGTACTGGCTCAATTTGGTTGCATGAATTTCAACTCCCCAACTAGCTTAGATCTTCACAGCCGCGGTGACTTTTAGAGATTTTGTACAATTTCCTCTGCTCTCCCTTATCATTTTGTAAAATTAAATCAAAAACAAAAACAAATCAAGGAAAATTCAGAGGAGTTCAATCTCTAGACTTGCCTTTTGTTTTTATTATCAACAACCAAGTTAATGGTACACTCTTGGAAAACTATATGCACATGTAGAAATATTTCCCTTTTAAATAGAAGCATTCATTATAACACATATAAATAAATTTGAAAATCTGAAACATAACTTATGACGTTTATGTTCACAAACAAGGTCCAACAGGAAGAAAAAAAAGAAATCAGACAGACATGCACCTGATAACAAAAAAATATACCATTGTCTGAACTGTGGTCTCTCTAAACACAAAGGAATTGAACCCGTGAGAACCTTAGTACTCCATAAAGACACGCCATAGAGACTACAAGAAGAGGAAAAACATTATACGGTCACGTAGAAGAGACGGTCTGTACTGATATTAACACGATACAATTGAGTCACAGAACACAGTTGTAGAAAGACACCCAAAAAGTTAAAGCCTCAACATTCAACTAATATCTATAGTTTGTGCCTTTTAAAATAAGAAACAAACAAATTTAAAAAAAAATCTCAACAGAGATGTCTAAACTGCGGGAAGAATGGAATCATCAATATACAGTCCATCCACCGTACAGGATGTGAGTCCATTTCGGATCAAACAGAAGTGTAAACCCAGACACTTCCGCAAACTTGTGTGCGCGCCTTTCCCTTGCTCCGAAGATTTCGCTGCAGCCAGTTGCATGGACTGCAATTGACTCCAATCCAAAGCAGTGCCAAAAAGTTCAGTAAAAGCTGGTGGAAGAAGAAAATGCCGGTCGGGGGTGGCGGGAGAGAAAAAAAGGGAAGAGTTTCGAAATATGAGACACAGTTTGCAGTCTGCAGATGAAAGGCATCTCATGTATAGGGCATCTTTCAGGGCCGAGTGGCTGCAAAGGTTCGGGGTGTGGGAGTTGCGAAGGTGTAGGGGTTCGGAAGCGCTAATGACGGGGTGGTATTCGACGAGGTGGGTGGGACAGGCAAGCGGGCGCGAGGAAGTCATCTTGGCCGCGGTGACAATCCGCAGGAGTCTTCACCGAAGCGGCCAGAACCCCAGGACAGGAGGGGAAGCGAGAGTGGAAGGCTCCCCAGTCTCCCCTGGGGAGGAGCCCCAAGGGAGTCTGTGCCGTCAGGAGGGCGCCAATTTAGGGGTTCACGAGATGGAGCCCGCAGACGGTGCCCGCTGCAGCCTCCCCTCTTCCCCCCTTTACCATTGTTCCCCTTCGATTTTAAAACATTTTTAAAAAATGATTGCTGCCTTCCCTGTTTGTGTGTTTTTTTTTTTTAATTATGGGGGATCTTTTGTTTATTTTTCTCTGTTTCTAAGCAAGACACTGAGTTGGTTGTGCCCCTATCCATCTCTACCTGTCACCTGCTCGGGCCACAGACACACATTCCCAGAGACAAACATACACGACACGCAGACACAGCCCCCTGAGAGTGCCCCCGAGTCCGGGCCGCGTGGTCACACCTCCCGTCTGCGCGGCCCTGGGGCAGGTGCGAAGCCAGGGAAGTTTTTGTTTCGTGTGGGGGTTCAGGATGGGGGTGGCAGTGGGGTTGACATGGGGGCGACGCCGTTTTCTCTTTATTCTTATCGCGATTACTTTAGGCTCTCCAGGAAAAAGCCACGGCAGCAGCGACGACCATAGCCTCGGGCCTACCCGCTCGCCCGCTCGCCCGCCCGGCCCTGGCCGGCCGCCGCCGCCGCCCAATCCCCGATCAGAACATGCTGCTCTTCACTAAGGCGGCTTTGGCACCGTTGGGTCTTTGGAGCGAAGATAGGACGCTGGCGAAGGGACCCCCGAGTGAATCCGGGATGGAGGTGATGGGGCCGGGGCCGGGAGCCCAGCCTTGTCCGGGGCCCGCGGCCGCACCTAGGCCTCCCGCCGCCGCCAGGCCTCCGGCCGCAGCCGCCGCCGCCGCTGCCGCTGCAGCCGCCGCCGCCGCCGCCGCCGCGCCGCTCTTGCCGGGCTCGCCTCCCGGGCCCCCGGGCCCCGCCGCCCCCGGGGCTCCTGCTGGGCTGGGCCCGCCGCCGCCGCCGCTCGCGCCGCAGCTGGGCGTGGGGTTGGGGTTGGGGCCCGGGCCCCCGGTGCTGTCCGGGTCGGTGCTTTTGGCCTCCTTGCTCTCGTCGTCCCGGGAGGAGTCGGACTTCTTGCCCGAAGAGCCGTTTTTGGCCGCGGCCGCTGCTGCCGCGGCCGCGCGCTCCTGCTTGCGGAATTTGGCGCGGCGGTTCTGGAACCACACCTGGGCCAGACGAGAGGAGAGGCGGCGAAGCAAGGGAGAGAAAAGCGGGGAAAAAGAGAAAGACAAGCGCGAGTGAGAGGGTGCACGTTCCATTTCAGTTTGTTTTAAATTCCGCGCGCCGCGGGTACCCCCATGCGCACCCAGCCCACCAAGTCTACCCCCACCCCACGCACAAATTTCCTTCGGGTGACTTGAGCATGCCAAGGAAACGGCACCTTGCAGGAGAGGTAAAGGGACGGAGTTTCCAGAGAGGCGCTAAAATGTAGCCCTTAATTTGGCCGACCTTTGCTCAGTGTACTTTATGAGCCACTCCAAACTCGTCATCGCCCCTAGGCCTGAATTCTAAAGTTAAATAAACCCTCACTGGTAGGAGGAGGAGAGGATCTCTAGGTCTGGTGCTGGCTGCACACCCTGACTTGTGGGCCTAGAGAAGCGGGCGGTGGTGCGCGCTGCCCCTCCACTGGGGGGCTCACGTGGAGCGGCGCCCTGTCCCTGAAAGGTTAGAATAAGCCTTAGCTCTTGACCTTCATGGTGTCACAGCCCCTTTGCGAACCTGATGCAAGTCACAGTTCCAGGGAAAATGCACCTACACTCTATGGCTCCAAGTTAAAAGCGCTTGAATTAGGAGGCATTTGGCAAAAAATATTTCTAATACGTAGGCAACGTCTGCACTCTTCCCAAAGGGTACTTTCCGACTGCTTCTGCATCGCTGGCTGTGGTGGAAAACACTTTGCAACTGTGGGTGTAAATAGGCTACAGAGCGCGGGCCCTAACCCTTCCTCCTGCGCACAACCGCTCCAAACTTGGCCTCTCTAGTCATCCCTGAGCCAAGGACCCTTCTCAAGAGAGGCCCTGGGGTTCGGAACCTCCATCAGCACCTACCACCCGCTACCTCGTCCACCTCGTCCCTCCAGGACGGGGGGAGACCAAGCCTGGTAGTTTTCCGGGAGCGCGTACCTGGACTCGCGCCTCGGTGAGGTCGATCTTCAGGGCCAGTTCCTCCCGGGTGTAGATGTCAGGGTAGTGCGTCTCCGCGAAGACCCTCTCCAGCTCTTTGAGCTGCGCGCTTGTAAAAGTGGTGCGGATACGCCTCTGCTTGCGCTTCTCGTTGAGGCCGCCGTGGTCGGTGAAGAGTTTGTATGGAACTGGGGATAACAGAGAGGGCAGAGTGTGAGCAAAAACAGTCTGGAGAGCACGGGCCGTGGAGCCGGAATGTGGGGACTTCAAGATCAGGTGTTACTGGAGCCGCTACCGGCAACAGAGCAGGAGAGTGGCCGAGAGGAGCTGCCGAGAAAAACCGGGTAGTTATGGAAGGACACTAGCGCAAACTTCGTTCGGGGTTTGGCGAGGTCCCTCCTGGCACGAGCGCCTTTGGGTGGGTTCAGATAGAGCATTGGAAACCCCTGAGAGCCGGGACGAGGGGTAATGCGTTGATGAGGGAAAACAACGAGAGAGGAAAAAAGTCCGAAAACATCAGTCGGAATATCAAGGAACCAGGGAAGAAGTTACCAAACACTTTCAACTGGTGGAACTTTTCAATTCTCAGAAGTTGACCCACCCCAAAAGTTGGGGGAAAGTGTGGCAAAATAATAATACTAAATTAAAGAAATAATCGTAAAAATGACCAGCCAAAGAGGTGTGAGCTACTGTCGGTTCCTTAAAAAAGAGACACTGCCAGTAATGAGCTTTACTCTTTGTTATTTAATTATTTTCTAAGCTTTACGTCTCATCGCAAAGTAAATAAATTATGCCTATCATTTTGGCAGCTTAAGATAATTTTGTTGGCGGTTCGGGTGTGACTAGGATAGTGTAACCCTGTAAGTGAATTACCCCTCCCTGCAATCGCTTCTAACGTGATAAATTCTTTCATTTGTGTAAGCAAATTTCGTTTGGTAAATACTAAACACATTTCCATTTTCAAATGCAATCAAGGCTTCCTATATACGAGACGAAAGGCAGCTTCCTCCACTGAGAAAGCTAGAGGTCCTTACCTGCGGCGTACGGACTGCTCTGGTGGTCCCTGAGGGTGCCGAGGCTGCAGGATCCCGGCGTGAGGGACGGGCAGCCGGACGTGGCCCCAAAAGTGGTCCTGATCGGGTTATACTGGAAGCCACTGGCCTGGCTGCAGGAACTGAAGTCAGCATAGGCTGAAGCCAGGCTCGAGGTGTCCATCCCGGCCATACAGGACTCGTAGGCAGAGGAATTGAGGTAAGAATATTCCATTTTATACATTGAAAAGGCTCTGGATGGCTCAGCCCAGTGGAAAAACGAGATAAAAGATGGGTATGGAGAAGGTGGCTGGAGTGGGGAGATGTGCACAGCTCAACGCCTGCCTCCAAACTGGCCTCCTTACTACCAGCAGAGCCTAGTTTTATGAAAAAGCCTCCTATGAGATGCCTTGTCTGAGGTCTCTAGAGCATATAGTCCTCATAATAAACTTGGCTCTTTCCACTTGGACAATAGCAAAGCGGTTGGTCTTATTGCTGGCGCTTTTTACATGACAATAACTCATCCGTCTATTGGGCTGGCACTGGGGAACTGAGCTGTCCAACCTCCCTATCATTGATTCCTGCATCTCTAATTAGAATTTAATACCACACCATTACGCACTGAGCCCCTGATCCTCCCTTCTAACCAGCTCCCTGCCCTTTAATTCAATCACACTACTTGGAAATAATGAAAGTTGGGTGACGATTCTCCCTGATCCAATTTCCCCAAGCTTTTAAGCCTTTTTAACTGATCATATACCTTAGGCATAAATTGAGATAGTGTGTATGTTTTCTCCCTTCTTCGTCCTCTTTTTTCCCCCCTTGGTTAGGAAGAAGAAACCTTGATGTCATAGAAAACCTGTTTTGTAAGAGTGTTACACGCTCAATTTAACAACAAGCCTACCCCCCGAAGTGCATGAAATGGTATAAAGGACTGGGACATTGGCGAGACTCTTACAGGCGCCCTGTAACATGGAGTAAGTGGGCCGAGGGGGTTTGTGTGAACGATAAGCGGATTTCTTTAAAATACACCTGGTAGAGGGGGTTAAAAAAAAAAAGAGCATCTTATAAATTGCATTTCTTGTCGTGGCTTAATGTGCTTTTCTAGAGACTCCGCTTACAGGGCCGCTTTTAAAAAAAAAAATAAAAGAACAACGCTCTTGAATGTAAAACATCTGGATTTTCAACCGATGGCTTCTTTGCACTGGGTTCTGTCTTTCTGTCTTAGTGTGAGGTGTGCGTTTCGTTGGTTTGCAGGTTCGGTGCTGTTGTTCGTTTTAATTACGCCATAACTAGCAAGTGGGCTTGAAGTGTTCCCCAGTGCGTGTCGTCCACCCCTCTCGGGCTCCCTCCCTCTCTTTTGTCGCCTCCACTTCTTCAGGTGCCCACAGTCCCCCACAGACCCCAGGCTTCTAACAGAGGGCCGCTGTCCGCTGCCTTCTGGGTTCGCTGACCGCGGTGAGCCAAAGCCTTGCTCTTTAAATGCCCAGGCTCCAGGTCGGGCACTCTGCTGGCCCAGCTAACTCCTCGGGCGCTTGGGTGCTAGCAGCGAGTCACAGACAAAGAAGCAAACGGTGATTTGTGGACCTCGGTGGCCCCATGATTTAAGCGGAGGGTAATTTTCATTTGGTTCGTTAGGCTCTAGCAGAATAAGGGAAAGTATTTCATTAAATCCTTCCTCTCGGTGGACAAGAGGGGGAATGCTTAGTTGAATCGCCGTGTGGTGTAAACAAACCCTGGATATTTTATATGAATTAAATGTGTAGATAATTAGTTTTATTGCATTCATTACCCCCTTTATGTGCTCTGTAACAAGTCAGTAATTAAAGTAACAAACTCATAAAGTCTTTATAGGGGCATTTAGGCGTTCAGTGTTTGCCAAACTAAGTGGTTTAATTCGATGCTAGTGCCGGGGAGTGGATGGGCGCCCGCTCTCCGCTGCCACCGTGCTTTATTGCGCACTAAACTGCAGCGGACGCTGTAATGGATTAAACAGAGACAGCGGCCCCCCAGCCCTGCGCCTCTCCGCCGGGTGAGTTTCAGCCTGGTCTCAGGTGATGGCGCGTCCTCTGGACTTGAGGAAGCGCTGCTGGCGCGAGTGCAGGCAGCGGGACGCGCCGAGGAGCCTGCTGATAGTTTTATGGGGAGGGCTGATAGTTTTATTGCAGTTGTATGTTGTACAATGCGTATTTGATAAAGAAGGGCCCTTGGTGACCAGTGTGTACTTTTTTGTGCACGGGGGTGAAATGAAAATAAATGTATACAAGGTTTTACTGCGGCGGGAAACAAATTGCAACGCTCTAAATGGTTTTTCTTTATGGTCACCAGACAAGAGGAGAAAAGAGATGCAAACATCTGTCTTCAGTCCCCTAAACCTAAAGGCCAGCAAAGACGGATGTGAATCCAAGTGTTATTACAGTGGGGATTTATCTTTATTTATCCCGCTCTCATGAATATGAATCTGCTTTTGGACCGGGAGGCGGCTATGCCCCTTCGGACGCTACGCATGGAATTCCCCCACCCTTATCCTCCCCCCCCCCTTCAGGGAGGTGGGGGATAGGTTGTCAGGCACCAGGCTGAGACTGTCCAAGTTTCTGAAATCCCTCGGACTTTGCGGTGGGGTGCGCTGCCCAGACCCCGCCGCCCCAGGCCTGCCCCCGGGGTATGTGAATGCGGGGAACGGGCCTGAGTAGGACCCCTTAGCCCGCTGACCTCCTCCACCCCCGCTTCTGTGGAGTGTAAGCTCGTTTCTCTATAGAATAGAATGACTTGCGTGGCCGGGAGGGGATGCGTCCTGGCTGCAAGGCCTGTGCTTGGCAATAACCAGGCCCTCACCCCTCTTGGCGCCCACTCCTCGGTGCACCTTGGCTGTGTCTCCGCCGGGTATAGAGCGTGCGCTCGGCCCAGGAAGCCTCACACTGGCCCCGCGCCTCCGGGGCCCTACACCCGAGCCAAGTGCGAAGCGGTTCGGCCTAGGGTCCTGACTGGCAGTCTCCAGGCCCTAAAACCACCGCGGTGGAGGCGGGCCGTGCAGCTGGAGTGTGTGGGGAGCTGGGAGGAGCAAGATTTATTTGGGCAGCTTTTGAGGATGCCCTTGGGTGAGGATGTTGAACTTTGGGATTTAGTCTGTGCGGGAGGAAGTTCCCGTTTGCCGGGGACTTTGGGGTAGGCAGTGCGGTGAGCAGCTCAGGAGAGCTGACGTTGATGAGGCTTTTGAAGATGACACTGGGAAAAGCCGTAGGAGCGGGGCCAGGACTCCGCCACCCGGCGGGGGCGAGGGATATGCGAGGTCCCGGGGGTGGGGCGGGGGGTGCGAGGGGCAGGCTGGGCCGAGGCCTGTGCTGGGTACCACCTCGCCCGCCGCGGGCTCCCTCTCCCGGCGCTGCACTCCGGGGCTCGCGAGGGCCTCGGCTCCCCGCCTCCGCCAGCCACCGGGCCGGCCCTCTCCCAGGTGCCGGGGCCGACCGCGGTCTCCGGTCTCTCTCCAGGCGCCCCCTGGTGCCCGGCCTCGCCCGCTCGGGTGCCTTCTTTTTGTACCAAGAGACCTCTAAGCGCCGGGACGGCACGGTCCGGTGAGCAAACTCGCTCGACTTCATTTTCCCCTTTGTAGGCCTTGTAGGTTTATTTTGTTCAGTGTCACCGTCTCTCTCCGCATCCCACCCCACCCCCCACCATCCATAGCCCCTTGTCCCCTTTGCCCGTCTTTTGTGGCCCGGGGTCCTGCTTCTGCTCCAAAGATGAAAGGCATGTGGGGCCAGGCCGGAGCCCCAGCCCCAGCGCCCTGTTTTGTTCGAGTTGTGCTTTCTACACGCGAGCTCTCCCCTAAAAGTTGTACCAAATGGTTAATTTAATTATTCCAACTATAGACCAACTGCTTCAGCAGCCTCCACCACGCGTCTGGGAGGAAAAAAGAAACCATCTATAAGAAATAATCTAATAAAAGTGAAGTGTAGAAAAACCCCTCCTGATTTTCAACCGGCACAAATAGAATTAGAGCTTCAGCATCCTTTTCCCAAACAGACCTTTTGTCCAGATCACAACTTCAGCCAACCAGCAATGTGTACAGTGCCTGCTATTTATTTTAATAGAGGCGGGTGGGTAGCGAGATGGATTGATAGATAAATGGCCACATGGATAGATGGATGGTTGATCCATCTTCCTCTGACTTTCTTTTCTTAATATGTGTACACGGCTGATTTTTTTCCCCCTGCTGATTTTTTGAATCAATAATGGAAAGGCAATGTTATGTGGTAAAAGAGAAAAAAGGAGGGGAAAAAGGTCATTTAAAGCACAAAAAAAAGGGAAGAGACTACCAGCATATATACCATGAGAAAAAAAAATGTTTACATGCTACCCAGTACCAAATGAAAAAGGTTGAAAGTTTAAAAGAAACTTTTCTTTCCTTTTCTTCGCCATTCATAGGAGGGTTTCTTTTTCTTCTTCTTTTTTTCCTTGAAAGTCAGAAAGAATGTTAGAAGACAAGGAAACAAAACAGCAAACAAAATGCCATTGTATTGTAGTAGCAATTCATGGGAAAACGCTTGTCAGCCTCCTAATGCTTCACTCCTAGGAGGCTGTTTTACCGCAGGCGAAGCACAATAACATGGGAATGAATAAAATATTAAATACCAGTGAGAGTTTCAGAGGAATTTTCTTTTTGATTGCTTTATTTGAGGCTGCATCCAAATTATTCCCCCACAGCGAGGCCACTGCCTGGCAAAGACTCAACTCAGAACCAACAGTTCTCTCAACCACAGAATTAAAAGACAAGATTTGCCCTCAAGTTTCTAAAACACACACACACACACACACACACACACACGTGCGCGTGCGCACGCCAAGAAAAGAAAAAGTTTCTGCAAACAGCAGCCTTTTTCACTCACCTGCACCAAGAAAATTACCTGAATTTATTGGGACACCATTTCCCCAGAACATAAAGCAAACCAACTACAGCATTCCCAGGCATGAAGATCACTGATGTAGTTATTCTCCTAGCGTTTTAGAATTTTTGCCACATTTTTCATTTGCTTAGCAACCATAACGCACACGTTTCATAATAGAGACTTTGTATTCCTGGTACCTAACCTTGTGGCACTGTGAGACTAGCAATTATTAACTGATTGACAATAGTGTATGCAAAGCAATTAACACAGTACTTGGCACTTGGAAAGAAGCCAATGAATGTTAGACACCAGTGTTATGATCACAGTGGGGATGGTGATGATGTTGGTAGAGCCCCTTTCA